TGAACTTGCGGTTTGCCCGTAGGGCCAGTTTTTCGCGCTCCAGAAGCTTCCTGAAGCCTCCGGAGGGTGAAAAATGGCCTCAAAATAAGGACAAGGTCAGCTGGCCAGTGCGCGCATGTACGCTGGCCACCTGACAGGGCAACGCCTCGCGTGCCCTGACAGATGGCTCTGCGTGCCACCCATGGCACATTTGCCATCACGGCTTTAGGATGATTTGCAGCAGATAGGGCAAAATTTCTGAGTTCCAGTTGTTTAAAATTTACCACAATTTTCTTTTCTGAATTAAATGAGCAGAATGAAAAAAAAATTGGGATATTGTAGTTGGTTTTTTTTTAATCAAGAAAGGCTATTAATTCTATTGCATTATTTCCATTTGTTCCATACTGAAAACAAATGTTTATACAGGTAGTCCCCAGATTACAACAGTTCTTTTAGTGACTGTTTGAAATTACAGCAGTGCTGACAAAAGTGACTTACCTCCGTTTTTCACATTTATGACCATTGCAACATCCCTATGGCTACATGATCAAAATTCATATTTATGATTATTGCAGTGTCCCAGGGTCACCTTGTAGCCCTTTGACAAGTACAGTCAATGGGGAAGCCTGATTCACTTAACAACCATGCTCTAATTTGACGATTGTAGTGATTCACTTAACAGTAGCAAGAAAGATTGTAAAATGGGGCAAAACTCATTTAGCAACAGAAAATGTGGACTAAATTGTGGTCATAAGTCAATTTATACTTCTGGAAGGCTATTGGTTTAATATTCTTATTTTACAACCAGTGTAGAGCTAATTGACATAATGGCTAAGGTGTCACAAGGTAAGACTCAGACACACAAGGTCATTTGGTGATTTTTGGACAATTGTGCTTTCTCAGCCCAACCCCTTTCCAGGTGAGTTGCAAAGAAAAATATGAAAACATGCTATGCATGTCACTTTGAATTCCTGAATGTAAGACACAATACAATCATATCCCTGGCATACATTTTTATTAGTGGCTTTAATGTATTCAGATACTATAAAGTAGTTGCACCTACAAAGATTAGTATTATGCACACAACAGTTTTTCCTGTAACAATCTCTGGGTGTGAAAGTTGGACTTTGAAGCAAAGAATAGAAAGAGTATTGATGCTTTTGAACTTTAATGTTGGAGAATAAGAATTGGAAGGGACTTTCAAGCTGCTGCTTGAACAGGAGACCCTATAAATACCATTTTAGACAACCAATTCTCCAATCTCTTCTAAAAACCTCCAGTGATGGAGCATGGATGGTCAGGAAAACAGGTGGATAGCCTCAAATTACAAATACAATAATGAATGCACACTGAGAGACCTAATAACAGACCAGGCTGAGGTCAGATCATCTTGGAAGTCTCTATCTTGGTAGTTTGTTTACTTATTAAATTTATGTGCCGCCCATCTCACTGTCCAAAGTGACTCAATTGCTCAGAATAAGCACTGACTTGAAGGCATCTCATCAATCAATCAGGCCCTAGGGGAATGTAAGTGATAGTTAATGGCTTTAATTAATAAATACACAATTCTATCAAATAAACTGTACCCTAATTGTGGCCTCGGCTGTTAATTTGAAATTGCTGGGTAAATGCTTTCTCACTGCTCGTTTTTCCATAATGCTAAAAGGTAGTTTTAAAAAAACACATCAGAAAGGAGGTTAATTTATTTGGAAATCAAAGAGTCATCGATGAATTTTTTTAAAAAAAAACCTATTATTTGTACTCTCCACCTGAATGCTCAACTTGATGCTACAGTGACCCCACATGGTTATCTTGCATTAGTGCAAATCTGTTGCAATTCCAGTTTCAAAAAAAGTCCATTTTGGGGACTTTTAAAGTTATCTAGAAAAAGAATTGCAACAAGGACCAGCTTCCAAAATCCAAAGACTGCATGGCTGAGCAAAGCCTCTTTTAGCTAATTTTATTTTTTGCTTCATTCTGTTTTTGTTTCTTTAAATCATTTTAAAATTTCTGCTGGGCGTGCACAGGATAAATATTGATACAGATGGCACAAGCGCTTTTTTTACTCAAGAGGCCATTTTATGATACACATAGCCATAGCTAACCATGGTTTATCTAACCTAACCAAATCTTCTGTGGTTTTGCGACCCAAAGAACTAGCCACGCAAATTAAATCCTTGCAACACACTAGACTAGGCTAACATGCAACCAATGGGTAAAAAACACCATCCTGAAAGCTGCTTCTGCATAGATGAATAGGATGGCACCTTTTGACACCCAGTCACCATGGCTGATGGCTCTCCTGGCTGAGTTACAAATGTTGAAATCCATTCTTTGCAATGCAGCAATTGAAGGATAGTATAATCTTTATTGCCATTGTACTTAAATACAACAAAATTGGATCCCTGGTTGAAGGTGAGAATGCTGCCTTGCAAATCATGCTGTGTTGATTCATGGACTCTAAATAGATAGGATTTATTAAACCCAAACCAGAGTGATGCTTGAACCAGTCATCATGACAGGGGGAAAAAAAGATACTCTGGATAACTTCTAAAGAACCTCCTTTGTAAACAGCTCACATTGCATGTCTGAATTCTAGCTTTTGAACTAGTTTTTTGTGTTTTATGTGTACATATTTTGAAAACCCACAGCCCTTGCTTTGTCCCCAATGTAATGCCTTCCAGTGTTCAGAACTTCATTCTCCCATCTTCCCCCAGTATGGGCGATGATGAGAGCCGAAATCATTTGGAAGGCAAGAGATTGGAGAGAAGACCGATCTTTGTGATTTATATACATCAGCCACGGATTTCCGTTGACTGGAAATATATACTGGATCCCTCGTCACAGTTCCGTTCCCTCAGCGGGGAAAATCCCGCTTTTTTCCTCTAATTCTTTCGGCTCTGAGGCGAACGCCGTTCTCTCCGCAACTTCCAAACCCGAAATTCGGGGGTTTTCTTCCCGCGCTTTTCAATGATTGGCCATTACCTGCTCGCGCTTCGCGCTGATTGGCCGCGCGCCGTTTTGGCGGGCTTCTCTTTGAAGGCGGGAAAATTGTTGGGAAGGGTCTCTCTCACTCCGTGTGGGGCAGGGAGGCTGAAAGGAGCAATTTTAGGTTGACTCCTAGGCAACCCAACACTGAAGCGGAGGAAGGAAATCTAATATTTAATGGGGGGTGGGGGACACTTAACAACACAAAGCCCGATGATTTGATCCCAAATAGATGATTCAGCTGGGGTGAAGTTGGAGGAAAGATGCCAAGGGGGGCAGAATCTCAGAGGGAGTGGGGGGGATTGCTTATTGGGGCAGAAGCCGAGGAAACAGGGCAGGAGATGCCACCTGAGGTTGAGAGAATAGAGGAGGAGGTAAATCCCACAAAGATGGAAGTTCAGGGACTGGGGCAAATGGAGGCTGAATCCCAGGGACAGAGCAAAGATACTTCAAGTGGGGCAGGAGCCCAAGGGCTGAGGGGAGAAATATCAGATAAAAATGATATTGCGGGAGCAAAAGCAGTTGAAAGTGAAGGATGTGTTCCTATAGAGACCTTGGAGACTGATCCAAGGATTTGGGCAGGAGAGTCCTTAGTAGAAGAAACTAGTGGGTCATCTTATGTTTCAATAAATATTGAGGCAAGTGGGATAAAGAAAGGTACCAAGAAAAAGAATTCTGGAGACAGGAGCAAAAAGCAAATTAATAAGAAAAGTGGGCAAAAGTCCAAGGTGAGGAAATAATAAGTAGTTGCTTCCAAAACTCCAGAGAAACAGACTGACATGCTCATTTAATAGGACTTACTGCTTTTAAAGGTGTCAACTTTTTTTTTCAAGATAGGAAATATTTTTTTTATATTTAAAAATTACAAGAAATCTAATGTTAGGGTGCTGTGTTAGGCACAGTTATCTGGGAGTAGATATTGCACATTGTAGGACTAGATCTGTGTGAGTATGGTGA